GCGCGTGTGGGTGTCGATCATCATATCCTATCCACATAACTTCCGTTCAAACAACAACTAGGTGTAAGCGTCCGCACATCGGCAGCGTGCTAGGGTAATAAGCTTCTGCCGACGCAAGACTGCGAATCGAGGACGCTAGGGGTCGCTTCTCACTTCGCTACTATCAGCGAGGTACAACCCTGTGACTGCGGGTGACAGCGACACTTCCGCGCTGTGATGTCACAGACCATCTGGGCGGAGCCGCAGTCGCTGTTGTCGGCGCAAAAGTCTCCGTACGAAGATCCTACGAATGCAAGAAATAAACACGTAATTATTCAAGTTATCAACGTAGCGTAATAGGGTGTGGTGAGATCGAGGTACGAAATGTATAACAGTCATGCATCTCATATTAACTTGATTCGCAGCGGCCTACCCTTCTCACCTTGTCTCTACTCTACCTGTCCTTAATGATCACCGTACCGTTCTTCCCCCTAACTTATCTCTCTCATAACCTTGATTTAGGCTCCTCGGATCATACACATATCGATCATAATATATACATATACATGATATATGATGATATATACGTTTCAGTTGGCTACCGCTCTAAGGAGATGCAGTTCCACTGGGCAGAGCAAGACCCTATACAAATCGATACCAACATCTCATTGCCTCAGTTCAGGTTCCCGCGTCTGTCTATGGTTGGCTGCAGCGCGTTACACATTCACAACGGTAGGTAGATGTAAGTCACACATACGCCATCAACCAATGTCATAAACGCATAACTAGGTAAATCACAAATTGACACAATGGTTCGAGCGCCCTCTCCTTCTGTAGCTATAAGTAGTCGCATTACAACGCATTTTCCAAATACTTGAGTGGTTGTGAATAGGGCAATGACCCTGCCCGGCATTTCTATCCTCCTTATTCTACTAGAAGGCCACCGGTATAGGTTTCAATATCGATATACCAAAAATGTATCACTGTGTCTCTACTGATCATATATTTGAGAATAAATTCAAGTTGTATCAGGTAAGCATAACCAGCTGCTACACAGAGACAAAATTGCTTGCCCGATTGAATAATAAACCTTGTTTCATATTTACACACTCCACCATAATTTGCACTACATATATATACTTCTATTATCAAGCAAATTTATATTACACACATTAATAATATTAATTATTTATTCTGGATATTACGTTATTCGTAATAATATTGACAAAGTATTACAACGTTGTTATTTATCAATATACACTTAGATGGAAACAACATATAAGGGAATTATAAACGACAGTATTATAGTGCAAATCACTGGAGTAAATGTCATTGAAATGTCAGTGACACTGTCAGTGAAGGCCTTTCACATAGGTTATGTTAAACGTCAAGCAAAAACACGTGTCAAAAGCAAAAATAAAATTTGACAAAGTATAACGTGCTGCCTTCCTTCAAAAAGATGGAATCTGCAGCAAAATTAGTGATTCAACGTGCGTGCGTGCGTGCGTGCGTGCGTGCGTGCGTGCGTGCGTACGCGTGTCATACGTATAATAATTTATTTTCTAAGATAGGCTGTTTGGCTACTCTCTTGTATTCCATGCTTGCAGACAACTTTAGCTGTCTACAGATGGAGATTACATTGTACAGATTGTATGGTTACTACCTCGTGCACAGCTACATCCCTACCATGTTCCTCGTAGTTTGCTCCTGGATTTCGTTTTGGCTAGACTACGATGCCACGGCTCCACGCACCACACTTGGTAAATGTTGGACTGCAATGCTGTCTTGCAATGCTGCCATGCAATGTTAACCGGCAATACCTACCGACAATGTTTGCTTGCAATGATTACCTGCAATACTGTCTTGCAATGTTAACCTGCAATGTTTGCCTGCAATGATTACCTGCAATGTTTGCCTGCAATGATTACCTGCAATACTGTCTTGCAATGTTAACCTGCAATGTTTGCCTGCAATGATTACCTGCAATGTTTGCCTGCAATGATTACCTGCAATACTGTCTTGCAATGTTAACCTGCAATGTTTGCCTGCAATGATTACCTGCAATGTTTGCCTGTAATGATTACCTGCAATGTTGGCCTGCAGTATATAACTGCAATGTCTATCTGCAATGTTGGCCTGCAGTATATAACTGCAATGCCTACCTGCAATGTTGGACTGCACTATTTACCTGCAATGTTGGCAAGCAATATCCAAGTTCAGTGGCATCATAGTCCACGACTTTTTGCATGCTCTAATAGATTACTAACTGTCTTGCTACACCATTATTCCGTAATCTTGATAGTAATTGATAACCAATCAATATAAATCAATAATTGATGAGTACCCTTCATATAAATCGACATTCAACAAATATCTCAATAACCATTCCACAATCTCGCTAGTAATCACTGTTTGGTCAACTTCCGACAGGTTTCACCACGCTGCTGACAATGTTCACACATAGTTCAGTGGTGCAGCTAACTCTGCCACCCGTCGCCTACGCGAAGGCCATAGACGTCTGGTTCAACACATGCAACTGTTTCGCGTTTCTCTCGCTGCTAGAGTTCGCCGCCGTCAACTACCTGACAAGAGCCGAGAACTGGGAGCAGGATTGCACGAGGGTAACGATAACGTGTGTGCATGCGTACGTGTGCGTGTTACTTACTTCTGAGCAAAAGAACAAGCAGTAGTACACGAAGGTAATGTGTGTGCGTGTTTGTGTGTTGTGTGTGTGCGTGCGTGCGTGCGTGCGTGTGGGCGTGTGTGCGGGAGTGCGTGCGTGCATGCATGCGTACGTGTGTGTATATAATATACGTGCGTGCGTGCGTGAGTGTGTAGCAGGATTTTTCGAACACTTTTTTATCAAGTCGCATAGTTTGAGCGTATAACAAATGGTAGGTTATACAAAGAATTTCCTGAATGTGATAATGACACGGTGGCATGTGCGTGTGCACTCACTTATGAGTGGAAGAAGAAATAGATTTCATCAAAGGTATTTCGAACCCATTGCTATGTGACAGAAGAAACGTGATTTCTCGAAGACATTTCAATCGCAAGTGGCACAGTCCGAGCTTCTACTAAGCAGTATTTAGAAGTTGTACTCAATCATAACCCACCTAGTTCGAACATTCAAAGACGGGGTAGCTCACCCACAGGATCTTGTGGTCATACTTTTTACTAGAAGGTGGACTCACCCATAATATAAGTGATATAGTTTAAGCACACAACAAATGGCAACTGGGGAAAAGGGATGCTCACCCTCCGAGCCACAATCATGACGTCTGCAGTGCATTTCAGCTATTAAAAAAATTCACTTGAGCTCGAATTTTTGCAGAAAAACACTCAGAAGGTGGCAGCACTGCAGCTAGTTGACGAACCAGGCCACTCAGACTCTGCAGAGGCCGCTTCCGTTCTTTCGTGTGGCACCGTCAGAGGCAGCGCAGCCAGCGACGCAAGCGAGGTGCATAGAGCTCGACACTGCCTAAAGCTGGTAGCTTGTTGCGCGAGCGGCAGTAATGGCGGAAAAGCGACGTTGCTCGACGTTGTTTCGAGGATCCTGTTTCCGCTCGCATTCGCACTGTTTTTGCTGGGCTACTGGTCAGCGTACTTTTTGCATCGCGAGACACACGAGTACGATCAAATCGGCTGCGAATCGTAGTAAAATACGATGCCTAGCGGCTCGTGCGTCGGAGCACGAGTTCTTACTAGCTATGTGTTGTAGCAAAACAAGGTGTCTAGGTGTTACACGTCTGCTAGGCAGCATGGTGAAATTTGACGATTAAATTTCACGCGTCAGCTAAGCATCGTACTGAAACTTGCGAAGTACAAATGCCGCCCGATGACATATGTGTCGTAGTGAAACATGGCGTCTAGGTGTGCTACGTTGGCTATTTATGTATTTATTTACTTTGTTATTTTTAACCACGGATACCCTGTCAGTACAGAGTATCTTCTGAGGCTCTAACAGACCGCTACCATAGTGAAACATGGCGTCTAAACGTTATGAGGTCGGCAATGGATTGTATTAAAAGACATTGTCTAAACATGTTACAGCAGATTGATGTTTACAGCTTGGGTAGTTTCTTAAAATCAAGATGCTAGAAAATTTCTCAAACGTTCTCAAACCCTCTATCAGATTAAAAGTAAGATTTTGACACTAAGAATATAAAGCAGGAATTTACAAAACCCATAAAAGCTCTCTGTGATCTTATGATGTTTTCACCCAAATAACATTTTATTGAGTGCGCCGTAAGAGCGTTGAGAACGTTGTAAGTTTTTTGATAAGATAAATGTCATAAATGTATATATAGTATTAAATTATATGTTAATATATAGTAAACGGATACCAAAACTGTTGTATTACTGTCACAAACATCTGCCCCACTGCACCCTAATGCTCTAGTAGAATGATGATAACTCGCATACCTGCATCGTTTGTAGCTTCTTGATGAACTGAATCGCTTGATAGTCCTTACAGCGCACAAATGCCAGCTCAGCTGTCTTCAATTCCTGCTTTTGCAGAGCGCTTTCTCCGAGAAGGCGCCTAGATTTCACACGTACAAATACATTACACATTAATAGTAATAACATTGCCTTGGCAGATTGGCTTCAACTGAAAGACAGCTGCATGAGGTGCTAGGTGCTAAAAGATTAATACAGTTCCCAGTCGTGTGTGTAATATGTATATATATACATATACATCATACTAGTCTGAATTATGCAGTAGTCATTGAGAGTAGCCTAAGATGAATGAAAGCACACCTACACTAAACACCAGCATGTAGGAGCAGTTAGTAGTCTAGGTTTATACACATTCCTGTAGTCGTTTGCTATGCATACACCCAACATTGTGAAAAAACACGCGGGGTTGCTTGTGTGTGTGTGGATTGGGGAAGATATTTCCTAGAGTGGTAGGCTTACAAACTCTACTGACAAGATGTAAATCAATCACATTCTTGTAGTAACCCTTACAGGTGACACAACCTTGCTACCAGGTAATAACTGTTTGTGATGCCAAACAGTCTATACACCAACCTCCTGCTAAAATTTCATCCACATTATTTTTACTTTCAGCTTCAATTGTGGCATGTGTCAACAATATATTGTGTACCTTCGTCAGTCTATATGTCAATATTATACATTAGCATGTGAAATGCTTTGCTGGTGATGAATAGTGGTGACAGCTCGCGTTGGAAGTCCTCTCCTACTTCTCTCCATCACCTCCCCCACCTTCCCTAACTCCTTCCACTTTTCCATTCAACTCCATCTTCCCACTTCCCTTTTCCTTCCTTTTTCCACTATCCCCGTACCCGCCCCTGCAATACCCACCTCCTCTCCCTTACCTTCTCTTCTCCTAAACCCCTTGATTCTGATAATACTCTAACACATGCTCACCAAAGTCTAGGATGAGGTTTCTCCTCTATAAACTTGAGGGCTTCATCAGTACCCACCTTTTCAAGCAGATCACGGCTGTCTCTTAATGCCTGCAAGATAATGCGCATGCATGCATTACTCTAATTCCCCACGGGGGAACCTCTGCACAAACGTGCAATCAAACCTGAATATACGGGTCACTCAGAAAACGAGTTCCTGAATTATCCTTTCTAGACAGGTGTTTGTTTTACAGAGGCAGTTTCACTGTATAACTTCTAATCTAGTAAAATTCTAAAAGTGTTCTTTATAGGCAGGCGACCACTCTATAAAGGTTTCTGCTGCAGTGGAAGGAGATTCGCTTTGTGAAAACTAGTAACATAGTTTTGCAATTTGCCTGCAACTCCAACAGCTTTTGCAACTCTCTTATCTTATCTCTTATCTTATCTATCTGCGAGTCAGCAAAAGCTTTCTTGTGCGAATGCAATTCATATTTTGGCACTCTCGGTGAAAGCCACTGCGCGATACTCTCACGAGTATCGTCTGGCAGACCTACACTGGCAAGCTGTATTTGCAGGGCTCTCATGCGTCATGTAAACAATCCCCCAGATTTACAGAGAAGAGAACAAATGACTATTACGTGTATTATTCGACTCTTGCCTCTCATGCATCGGCAGCGGCAAATACAGAAAATTGGATGACACCAATACTGTCAATAAGCCAGTGGCTGCCCTAATTAGATTGCCTCTGCGTCCTTCTATAAACTCCATAGTGTGCATGTGTACCGCGGTTCAATTGAAAAGTGTGCTGAAATGATAGGTGCTTCAGTACAACTGTCCCTTAAAAAATCGTTTGCCTTGGCATCTTTCTAATTTGTTGCAGTGCCCTAGAATTTCGGACTAAACCCACGGCATCACATGCCTAGCATTAAAACAATTAAAATCGTAAAACGTCTCCCAAGGCAATGCATGCGTTTCCCTAACAAAAATTTATATTCCATCCCTGTACCTTGATCTCCATTTCCATCATGGCGTCCTTGCTTGGCTGATCGGGGTCCTTCATAATTTCGTCTAGCAGCACAGCCTTAATCTCAAGGTCAGTGAACTCGCAGATGTAGCCACTGCTGAGTATTGGCTCCTACAGGTGACAGAGAGAACACACAGATGCTGCATACATTACACTCGTAATACGCCCAACTCTAGCTTCTGCTGAAGCTCATGATATGCCTTCCATGCAGTCGAATCTTACATAGAGAATTCTGCACAATCACAACTAGAGTGAAATGTCACTTGTCTTTATCATTGTTTACCGTAAATGAGACAGTGACCATATCAGATAGCATCACTCTGCATGTGTGCATACTATTCCCGACTAGCCGGTAAAGCTGAACATTTTTCTGTTCACTTAAGTACCTGCCAACTTCGTGGCTAAACTATTGTGTGATTGTATCTGAAGGTTTACACATCACGCAATGTGGGATGGGTTCTTTGTCGTCATCATTGTGTAGTAATAATTAATGTGAAAAAAACAGTTACGACCTCGTATGTCAAAGAAACAAAATCTCATAATAAATCTCAAAGATCATAAACTCATAAAGTTAAGTTTACCCACATTATTGTCTTAACTAAACTAGTAAATCTCAAAGTCTTTCTTCTTTCAAATAATTTCGAATCAATTAACTGGCAAACGTAGTACGATGTTTGAATTTATGCATGGCACCCCTGTCGCTAGTGACTCAGGCAACTACAACCATGACTGCGACAACAACAAATTGCTAGGACATGTATATAAAAATATATACAGCACGCGGCTGCTATTGGACAGAGTAGCATAGAAAAGAACACCCTGCAGGTATGATGGATTTCAAAAATAGGCACAAAAGATCTGCTTCAGTTAAATGAGTTGCAACTTTAGTGGTGGTACTCATAGGTTCATAATTTAATAACACACAATTATAGGTTTTATAGTAAGTAGTTTTGACAAGTAGAAGATTACTAAATACAGAGTGATATTGTATGATAAAAATCAGACTCTGTTTTCCAAAATATATGAATATATCCAAAGGTAGCTTCCTCCAATCCTACCTCTGGTTCCAGGTTTCTGAATATATACATGCGTGTCTTTTCCATCATGGAAAAAAGCTCAGAATTATCCTATGCACAAAAAAAATCCAATTGTTAAATCATCATATCACTTGCTATTACAATATCACGCTGACAACACGCATTTTTTATGTAACACAAAGAAAAGGTCGAACTCGGAAAAAGCAATTACATGTTGTAGACTGCCAAGGCTGGCTAACGTGTTCACACTATATCTTCCTGCTAGTGTTTGAATTATACCTATAATTTATATTACCTCAGCCCACTTCATGTCCCACACGTCTTTTCTTTCAAACTTGAGCAGTTCTCCAGACGTCTCCTGGTCAGTACCATCCTTGTACGATACGGTAAAATCGTAGAATGTAAGATTGCCAGATATGTCTATGATGGCAAGCCGCCTGTGGGTTGAATTCAAGAACAGGTGTGAGCACCCTAACCCTAACCATATCAGATAGTTACCAGGGTACGTTCCGGTATACGGGACTGTACCCAGGGTACGTTCCGGCAGTACCCAGGGAGACATAAACCCTATCAGCCATACCTTGATGTAACACATTCTATTCCAATATAAAAATGCGCGTGTGCCTGCATGTGAAAAGCTATGATCGCTACCTCTTGTCTGATATTGTACAAGTCAGATAAAACTAGACCTTTAGAAAATGGTTCACACAGCAGATTCTCATTTCTGCAGAATAATCTTGGTGTGTGAACTGATGGCAATACTATTAGGCATGTACTATACTCTTGGTACTATGCTACTAATTCTATTGTGCATAATGTATATTAAAAATGCAATATGTTCATCAATTTGCACATCTTGGGTTCATGATAATACATGTAGTAGCAGTACGAAAATAGATCAATGCTGACTCGTGAATTGCGTTCGTGGGAATATGCTCTTACAATGAGCTTACAGCATGTACACTTACGTCGAGGTGCAATTCAGAGCAATCTGCTGTGGTCGAGTCATAAGTTGGTTCCTGTTTATGAGCGCCACCTGTGGCAAGCTGTAGCGATTCAGGGTACCAGACTCTCGGCCCTAGCAAGAATAAATATTGCCAATAAAACGTGTTTAGGAAGATGTACTATTCCAAATGGCTAATATCTTGCCATTAGATAGCGCAACCTGTGCTAGTTCAGGTGATCCCATAAGTTTTTAAGTGAAGAAATTTCAATTTTGCATTTCGTATTGGTGCAAATCCACTTTAGGCACCTTAGGTATCACGAAGTGATGCACAGATTTCTGTGTATCATCAACCGATGCACAGACTTTCCGTATATCAAGGAATGATGCAAAAACCCTAACCCTAACCCTACAACACTTCGTGATACCTAAGGTTATACTTTATAACTTAGGGTTAGGGTTGTGGTTTTTGCATCATTCCTTGCTATACGGAAAGTCTGTGCATCACTTCGTGATACCTAAGGTGCCTAAAGTGAATTTACGCCTTTATTATTTTCGTCCTCCAAATGCTGGTAAAACTGTCACCAGATAGCTGATCTAATACAATAAAGATAAGCAATCTAAATACATCATCATGATCACTGTCTCTCTTGTGCATAACAATTTTAACAGTTCAAGCAATGAAACAAAATGAAAGCCAAAATCTTTACGCATCTTAGTAAAAATGCACAAGGGGATCTTTATATATCTTTATATCCTCTTATCCTTCTCAAATATCCCATAATATCTTAATCGACTTATTGTATCTACTTACAATGATCAATAACTTGTCTGTTGCCGATATACAGCAAATGGGATCTTTGGTTGGCTGAAAAAGTGAAACATGACAACAGTGTGAGCTAAGGTCTGACATATTGCTCATGCATGATTAAAAACAGCCAAAAAGAACAACAACCTACCACTGAAAAGTACGCCAACAAATCTGTAATAATTATAAATGAATCTGCTGTTAAATTAGGAAAGAGGTACTAGACAGAACCACGAAAGGTTTTCTTATATATGCTTGTGCACAGCGTGGGACTTGATTGCTATTTAATGTACAGTGAGTCTTCATCAATGTTTGGGATACAGACACCATGAAACAGGCAAAGTGACATGCACAAATAATGCAGGTCCCTAGTAATTTTTAATCCACTGTATACAATTCTGTCACTGGCATTGGTGTAATTAGCTTTAAAATATGTTAATGCACTGTAGTTGATTGTATTGCAATTGGTGAATGTGTATCCGAACACGCACATTAATGTCCATCTCTGCCACATTACCTATAACGACAGCATGTGCTAATATACTTGGCTTTGTGAATTTTAGGTAGCGAACATCAACAAATCATTTAACTGGATGAGCTTAACTTTTGCTTTTGTTTGTTTTTCACAACTTAACTTTTGCTTGTAACTACTTAAAAACATGATACATGAGGTTCCTATAAATCAAAAGTAATACATGGACTATATAGGCTATTGGATCACATTGAGTTTCAGTCAGCTCGGCAAATTAGACAAAACGATCATGACTAAAATTTTACGAAAAAAACTAATTATTTTTACATTCAAAATAAGTTGTGTTTGTTTACACTTGTTTTGATGTCGTAATTCAGTCAACGTTACCAGGAATATTATAGAAACATGTAGGCCTATAAGGAAATCTTTGGAAATCCGTTTCGTTAACTCACACAGACAACTGACTGTACATATTACAGAACAAGTATACTTACACTACCACCTACACAACAAATGACATGCAGGTACAGAGCAAACACACAACAGTGGTAAACATTACACAGGGAACACGACCACTACGATTATTACGAATCACAAGCCTACTCGAAAATTGCCACGCATCTCCTTGGGTGACGAGTGTGATAGAAGCGTGGGATGCTTTAGCACGACCAGGATAGACTACACGGGTGAGAGTGTGTGTGTGCAACGACATCGTCTCCTAAAACCACTCAAGTGCAATGATGCACAGATCTTGGTGCATTATTACAAAAGTGCAATGATCTTGACACCGACTCGGCCAAGGTATAGCACATGAGTGCCTAATGAGGATTGCACCGAGATATCTTACCTGCTTCATGTTCTCCTGCAAAGGTGTGAAGAAGGGAAACAATGAAAACACACGAGCACGAATAGGTTACATTAATCACCGCACACATTTTTTCTTGCTAGATCACAGATCTATGTACACAGCATGAACATCTAGGCCACATTGAAACATAAAATGCACACATGTGGATTTTATGGTTTTGTTAAACATGTGAAGTACCAAGTCGCAGAGTATAATTCACTAACAGGACAATGTAACTTCGTTCACATCAAGTTCGGACTACATGACATGAGATACAAGCAAGAGCGTATTACGCATTAAAGGGTTACTTTCCTCTAGAATTTGAGAGTATATTATGATAGTAGATTTATAAATAATAGCACATACCTATAAATATCTATAATTACGCATTCACGTTTGTCATAAAACAACATTGAATTTCGAAATCTTTATTTTTTGGGCGCGAACATGACATGCATGACCGTGCTGCCACCCTGAAAAAGTTGCGCATTTGCCAATTTATTTTGCACGTAACAGACCAAGGGCTAACCACAAAAGTGCAATGATATTTATACCTAAATGCTATTTAACCGAACGATATTCATTTTAGGACAAATTTATCCATATTGTAACTGAAACTATATGTCGTTTATAAGATATTGCAATCCTTCTGCTCTTAAATTAATAAATAAGAAACACCCTCGGTCTGTAGCCTGCAGCCGAAACGTTGCTTTGCGCAACTTTTTCAGTGGGTGTGCTGCCAGTGGCTCCACCGTCATTGTAATCAACGATATAGCCGTCAGTTTTAAAAATATTTTTAAAAATATTTCTAATAAATATTGAACTATAAAACTTTTTATGAAGCGTAATTTTAACCTATCTTAGCTGAAAGTAGCTGAAGAACCTAGAGAAATGTATCCCTTTAATTATATACTTAATACGCTCTTGATACAAGTGATAAGGAAAACACAAACTGCTTTACAGAGACAATTAAGTCTCAACCAATTAGTCAACTTACAATGTAAGCTTTGCTGTTGTCTTTGATGGCATCGGCTATCCCTGATGGTGAATCATCAATATGATATAGCCTAGAAGAAGCCAAAACCATAAATTACCTTCTAAATAATATATTCAGATTATAATATTAGGCTTGATTTAAGAACACAAAACAAGTTAAGTTAATTAAACAAATTAAGCAAGCCAACAATTTAATACCAGTTATCTTTAAAAAAATGTGTGTCCTGCTAATAGAAAGCTACTAAAAATAACAAATTTAAACATGGAATATCGCAGTTCGTAAATAAATTCCAACCATGGAATACTATTCTTATATGGGCCACATTAATTACACAGACATAACATGCAGACGCGCACAAACAAGAATATATGTGCGAGTTTCATTTCACCTTTCTCTGCCCATTGGCTTTTTGCCAGCTATCTCCATGGCAGCCAGCTGCTTTGGGATTTTGAACTGCCACACGTAGAATGCTTCCTTGGATGCAGCAAAGATATGCGTGGTCGTCATGGTGACATACATAGGCTCTATGTCTATGTACTTGGTATCGAGTGGCGTGCCAATGGAGTTGCAGAGAATCAGAACACACTATAGAGAAATATGTAATGTCATAAATAAGATTACAGACGATGATTACAGGCGTATACATTCCATGATCAATGTTTCAACGGCTTATTATGAATAGCATATATTATAAAATTATTATTAATGCATATGAATAATTTCAATCACTGAGTGCAGCCACGTGAATATAGACACGTGCACGCACGCACACATGTACGCACGCACACATGTACGCACGTACCAATGCACATATATACAAACACAATGCCAACATTTATTGCCAAAAACACAATTCTGCACTTGTTTGAGCCCTATCGTGAGTAATAAGTTGGTAAACTGCAAATACCTATCAATTCCTGTGCAATACACAATCAATCGGTTAATAGGAAACTTATCAAACGCAAGAAACATAATGAACTCTACTTTAGATCAGCCTGAGTTTTTGGATTTAAAATCTTTTACAAACTACGACATTCACACTACACACAAGCATGTGCACCACTGACTACAGCTTATTTTCTGAAAGAAACAAAGCCTTTCTCCAAAGTGTCAAAATAGCATTCGAATTTATAATTTAGTGTAAAGTACATTTCATGGTTCTTCGATATAATAACGAAAATGATTAGTTATGAAAAAGTTACTACGTACTAGAACAATATCTATTGGGTCAAAAGGAACCATGCAAGCTGCTTAGATCTGTAGTACAGGCACTCTCCCTCTGAATAAATAATCAGTGATGTAGATAACTCATTTTGCCTGGGGGTAAGCCACACACAGTTTGTTTTCTGGGCAGTTTACCACAGCCAGGTTTCCATTGGTTATTGGCCATGTTTTAGAATCTACATTGGGCTGGCAGGGGCGACTGACCCCGCCATTGTCCCCTCCAGTACCTACGACCCTGATAATATAAACCAAACAAATGCCTACCTGCCCATTTGTCGAGTCATCTTCTCTAGTCGCTAGGCAACACTGATCACCACATGCTGATATTGATAAGAGATTCTTCACATACTTAATATATTTCTGTAAGTAAATATGATATATATTAATTCAATAAACGTCTAAAATATCACAAAGCTATTAATATGTCAAAATAAACAGCATATAATCACTATGGACCTCTTAAACAGTAGTTGAATTTAATGTGCATAACAATTTTATATGCACTAATACTATGTTACTATGTTACCAAGCTATTCAAAAAATGAATATAGACACGTGCACGCATGCACACATGTACGCACGTACCAATGCACATATATACAAACACAATGCCAACATTTATTGCCAAAACACAATTCTGCACTTGTTTGAGCCCTATCGTGAGTAATAAGTTGGTAAACTGCAAATACCTATCAATTCTTGTGCAATACACAATCAATGGGTTAATAGGAAACTTATCAAATGCAAGAATCATAATGAACTCTACTTTAGATCAGCCTGAAATAAAGAGTTTTGGATTTAAAATCTTTTACAAACTACGACATTCACACTACACACAAGCATGTGCACCACTGACTACAGTTTATTTTCTCAAAGAAACAAAGCCTTTCTCCAAAGTGTCAAAATAGCATTCGAATTTATAATTTAGTGTAAAGTAAATTTCATGGTTCTTCGATATAATAACGAAAATGATTAGTTATGAAAAATTTACTACGTACTAGAACAATATCTATTGGGTCAAAAGGAACCATGCAAGCTGCTTAGATCTGTAGTACAGGCACTCTAAATAATCAGTGATGTAGATAACTCATTTTGCCTGGGGGTAAGCCACACACAGTTTGTTTTCTGGGCAGTTCACCACGGCCAGGTTGCATTGGTTATTGGCCATGTTTTAGAATCTACATTGGGCTGGCAGGGGCGACTGACCCGCCATTGTCCCCTCCAGTACCTACGACCCTGATAATATAAACCAAACAAATGCCTACCTGCCCATTTGTCGAGTCATCTTCTCAGTCGCTAGGCAACACTGATCACCACTGCTGATATTGATAAGAGATTCTTCACATACTTAATATATTTCTGTAAGTAATTATGATATATATTAATTCAATAAACGTCTAAAATATCACAAAGCTATTAATATGTCAAATAACAGCATATAATCACTATGGACCTCTTAAACAGTAGTTGAATTTAATGTGCATAACAATTTTATATGCACTAATACTATGTTACCAAGCTATTCAAAAAATTTCTTGATCCAAAGCATTTTGTAGTTTTTCTATTACAAAGATATTAATCTTTTGTAGTGTGTATGTTATATGATATTCCCACATCGATTTTATAGTGGCTTATTTTATTCTCTCACTTACTGATGCCAATTGTAGGCTACTAAATATAATAATCCAGTACATAAGTGTGCACACCTCACCACTGCTCCAGTTCCAGAAAACCACACAGTGTTCTGCCTTTTCTGGTTTTAGAAATGCATACACTACAGTATTGGTACAATATCCCCACTGGAAAAGAGAAAATAATTACACATTAACGTAAATGTAGGACAGATAAATTGTATAATAATATATAAATTGTTAACACACTCAAAAAGAACCATCAAGTTTTGATTCTCTTACTTTTTCAAACTTGTTACTTTCTGTTTCTCCTACTTACAATTATCTACAGGCATTATTGGAATACATATAAATGAGAAATGGCTTATAAACATAAGAACACTGAAATCAAAACACGAAATTATGACTGTGAATCTGCAGAGGGGGATCTTGCCTTGTAGTCGGGCCGGATGTTTGCAAAGTAGATGAAAGAGTCTACCGCCATCGCAATCCTCAGTCCTCCTCCTTCCATGAGCAGGAGGAGAGTTTCTGACCTGGCACCTTTAGTGTGCGTAGATGCTGCAATTATGTCCACCAGAAATTTAACATTGTGATGACTACTCATGACTAAAAAGAATTGCAAAGTATCAAATATACCGTCTATAGATATTGAATTATTGTATTTTTAGCTTTTTTTATTTGCCCTAATAAATCACACACGACTGAAACATGAATACTCCGAAAACTCAATATAGATACTAAATCTAACCTGCATATAATAACATTAATGTATTTTCATAGTGTGACGCTATTATGAATTGCATTGAAAACACTAAGAAAATGTTTCCTATAGACTCAAACATTGAATACTTGTATACTCGTGTGACCCTTTTCTGTAGTCAGCGTGAACTTACCTCCCCACGGTGTATAGAACTGAACGACATTGACGTTCTTGTCTGCTCCTGCGTAGCGCTGTGACCCACCAATGGCCAACACACTACCCATGTGGTTCCAGTTCAACACAGTCACAATCATGCCCGTATCCAGCAGTACAGGCTCTGTTATACCAGTCAATGATGTCATGCAATGTGAGGGAAATATAAGTAGTTCTGGCACAGATTTATGAAACGATATAGATTGTTTTTTATTCCAAGAAATAATCATGACAACAAACAGTATACATACCAGTATACAATATACATGTCTATTTAATATATAAAATAAGAACCAATATATAATTTAATATATAAAAACATTAAATGAAAAGGAAACATGTAGGCCATTTACCGTCATCCCCTTCGAACCTCATGATCTGGCAGCGGCCATTTCTCATAACAAATAGCCAGGCATGGGCAATTCGGATTCACGTAGCCTTCGCGACCACTGTACCAATGTATTCGCGCAAGATGAATGGCGCCTGTCACGTTGGTTAGGCAGTAGATCTCAATTTTCTCTGTAAGTTTCAATGATGAGATTTATTAACTGAAATGATGTATCACATGATTTTTACCCTTATTCAAATGAATATATATATTAAATAACAAAAAGTGAACTGCATAAAATCAACAAACCATGACGTATCGAATGTTTAGCTCCCACGTCATAACCCTAATTCCGATTTTAGCAACTAATAGAGTAAACCAGAAATTATATTGTAAGCAGTTTTCCTTACAGTATTCATAACAGTATATGTACTTACAACGATGATTCCCATGTTGTCATATATATGCACCTCCCCATTTGTGAGACCAAACACGAGAAGTTACTATCTGGTGACCACTAAAATGTATGACAAAATTATCTATTTCAGCTGATGCTATAATACTAACAATCGTGATTTTAAATTCTGATTTCTAACAGTTTCCATTTTAATTCAACATAAAGCAATTTCTGTAATATGGGCCTCAGGTATGGTCCTAAATAGCATAGCAGTATCAGTGCTATAGGGTCTACATTCTCAACAATGTGACTATATCACTTACTGCTACATGCGTCAGATTCATCCTTTTAAATCTTTACCCCAGATTCTTTGTCCATCTACTGAACAACAATCACTGCACCTGAAAGCAAAAAGATACAATTATTACATTCTGTGCTGCTTATGATGGCTTAGCTACTTGCTCGTTTATTGAAAGGTGTCATTACCCTAATTTAGAGCATAAAAAGTATATGAAAAATGACGATTTGTGATGGCAAAACATTACATGCAAGTTTTAAATGAGATCGAGGTTTACAATTCTGGAGTGGCACATTTTGTCCTTGATGTGCTTCTCATGTCATTGAGAGAAGCTAAAATATTTATTAAATTTTATAAATATTATTAATGGAATGATAAAGGTACATCCTCATATCGATGCAGATCTTCTGCCCCTCCTTGTTCCAGCACATGTCGCCGGACTACAGACTTATTTCTATTGTTAATCATCTCTTCAAACATTGATCTGGAAATCAAACAATTATTTAGGTTGCCACTTAATCAATTAATACATTATTTGTAATCAATAGTATCAGTGAATGGATTTAAGCTTAAAATAAAACTTTGTGATAGTCTTTTAATATATTCAAATAGTTTGGTGGCATTCTATCGAATAATTTCACGGACAATCCATTTGTTATATTGATAAGGCACATGTGTAAAGCTTATTAGCAAAAAGGCAAACCTTTACATCATCAGACAATGATGAGTCCATACTTGTCACTAGTTGTCAGCTTCTGATATTGATCATTCATCTGACTACTTGAACAGAACCTAGTGACGTAAAATTGTTAGTAAGAAATACAGATGTTTATATCAATAAAGAACTCCTAGGATTAGTTAATACATTTATGTAACATTGTTTGATAACATATATTATAATAAATACATCCAAAAATATTTTAACTAGATTCCACATAGTGTTATATCTAGAAATTTAATAAATGCTTAACCTTCTAATTCACATTTGATATTATTCACACATGTATTACTATTATTTTATATTTTTATAGGTATAGACTTTGTTCGAGAATAAGTGTACATAAAATAAAGTATTGATATAATAAGTCCTATACTAAAAAAAAGTGCCGCAGTGCGACATGCAGTAGCGGATTATCTATGGGGCAAAGGGCATTTGCCCCCGCGCCTACAAGTCGGACCGGCCCTAAAGTGTTGTGACTACAAAAAAAATATACTGTTTATTATTTTTTCCAAAGTATATCTTGGCCGGCCCCTACCACTTTCATATGACTACATTTGTTTTTGCTTCTACTTGTTTATCATTTCTCCGTGTTTTGTGTGTACATTGCAGCAGCTAGGAATAATATTACTTTAAGGTAGCTATGGGGTTAAAACTACCAATTTTTCAAAATATGATTTTTTTAATTTTTAACTTCTACAATTATTTTAGAACGTTTCCTTTCATTTTTCAACATTAATTGCTTATAATTATCCACTAAACAGGTCTAAAACATTATATGCTTATGGGAAGGGGGCGGGCGTGGCATGGGCGGCCAAAGATATGATATGCCCCCGGCCAGCGCAACTGTTAATCCGGCGCTGGCGACATGGCTCATCTGGTGTCTGTGTTCTGCTGATAAATTCATTGTTGCATAGAAGACGTCTTATACATAAGTTTCTTTATTTTGTTTGACTTTCGTAGCAATTCGAACAAATATATCAGCTACACTTCGCACCCACCTAATCTCTATGGCTAATTCTAATAACAAGAATAATAATAACAATTCAAATACAAAGTTAATGAATGACATGACGTTGACATAAAAGATTTCAACATATGAGCATAGATCTTCAAGTTTAATTAGAGGAGGCGGGGGTCCTTCTCTCCACCTCCCTCCCCACTGCATCCCACCTCTCACCTCCTCCCCCTGCCTCCCACTTCACTCCCTTGCCTCTCACTTCACCCCTTACCTCCCATCTCCTCCCCTGCCTTCCACCTCCCTCCCCTGCCTCCACCTCCCATCCCTTGCACCATCTCGCTGACCTAATTGTACCCCGTTTCCCGCTCGCATACACACCGTATCACCGTTTTCTGTTCCCCGTCTCAATTTACTACTCTCTCTCTCTCTCTCTTTATCTTAGACTTTCTCTCTCTCTCTCTTTATCTTAGACTTTCTCTCTCTCTCTCTTAATTATATAAATTTTAAAAAAAAACAGCGATTATGCATTTTACTGCCCCCAAATAATACTTCGTTCCTATGCCCTGAGTGTAACAGCCATAGAAAAATAATATATAGTGTCTCTAATATTTCTATGGTAACAGTTATGTTCGCCATAACTCGTAATGGATACGCACGCATAGCTACATGATTATGTTAAGATTCAGATGAAAAGTAAATATATATTATATCGGTACTAGTTACGTATGCAAAGTTACATGAGAATAAAATCTAATTAACTAGGCTATTAGTGCGCGTGCAAGTGTAATCAATAATCAAGATTGCATCGCCCTTCTTCAGATACCCTAACTAACTCCTGGGGAGTTGCTGAAATGCTACAGGCTAAAATCCAAGTAAGTATATTCAGGCAGGCGATAATTTCGCTCAGCTGTGAGTTAACACATGTGCATTGCAGGTTGCCAGGCAATAATTATGATTAGAAGAGTGCCAGCCATGGGCTGCCTCATGTTTTTGCCTACCCACGCGAGCATTCACTGATTCAGCCTTCAGGGTGCTATAGACAGATGCTTTAGAAAATAATATGATTTTAAGGGAGCGTAAACCTTGTTCAACAAACATTTGCCTTTGCCATTAAACTGTGCAACTGTAGCCTCACATTCACACAGGTATGGGCTCTATAATATCAAAAACAGTTCAGTCTTTGTTAACAGTCAACAAATCAATGTTTAACCCTCCTCCTTGAGGGTCAAAAGGTTATCCGACACTTACTCTTGCATGTCAGCGGAAAGTACATTTCATGGTCCTTTCAATAAAGCCATAAAATGGTAGGCACCGCTGAAACAAAAAAGTTTTTCAATCGCTCCGTCAGACATGTCCACAGAAATGTCTAAAATCTGCCCTGCGCCCATTGACATTTACCTGTAACCTCCATTTCGGCCACAGTGATGGCTTTTCCTTAAAAGTTAAATTAAGTTAAATCTTCCCGCGACTTCATACGCATAAGCGCATAGTACATGGCGCATAGGGCGTGCCATCTCCGTTCAGTAACCTGAGGCCCCGTAGCTGCTTTCACAGCAAATGTACAGTAGGGGGTTAGTCACTTGGTAGCACTGCGAGTTAACTTGCCACACTCTATCTCTATTTGCTGAATGCTAAGCAGAGAAGCCATGTGTACATTTTTCAAGTCTTGGTATGACCCGGCGGGGAGTTGAACCCCCGACCTTCCACATAAGAGGCGAGCACTCAACCATTGAGCCATCGCAGTGGTACTTGCTAGGATGGCTTTTCCTACCGTGATGCTATACACTGACTATCACGAGCCTAGGTCGAGCCGTTTAGATTTGTGCCACAATTCTGCATTTCTTCCCTATACCTTAAGTTAGGAGAATGTTCCCCTTCTTTTACACCTCTTGACCTTTTGACCCCCGCTTCGACATCCCAACTCGTTTCGGATTACCCCCCCCCCCCACGTCCGACTTTCAAATCCGTACGTCGAGCCGTTTAGATTTGTGCC